TCCCATGGCTTCCCTGTGTAGCTGACATGGTGGTTGTGAGAGTGGTCCAGCATTTCTGTGTTCTCAAATAATAAATATGCTGTATTCTCTCATTTTGACCCCCCCCCCCTTGGTATTTGTTGTTTGTTGTGGTATTCAGAGTTCTTTGCTGGAGAGCACTGATTCTCATATCCTGGAACCATGGGTGTTAAAGTGGTATCAGAGATGCTGGGATTGTGCTGTGTGAAAGGGACACTCGAGGTGATAAAGTGCAGTATTTGGGTTCGATTCCTTATCCTGTGTTTTGGAGCTGGTGACATGAATAATCAATCTTATCTATCCGAACGCATCTTATCTATCCGAACACATCTCCCCCTATGAACCCACTAGGGATTTGAGGCCTTGCTCCCGATCCCATCTGCTTCACAAGCATGTCTGGCGGGGACGAGAATCAGGTCCTTCTCTGTGGTGGCCCCTCGGCTGTGGAACTCCCTGCCCAGGGGTATCAGATCGGCCCCCTCCCTCCTAAGCTTTCGAAAAAACCTGAAAACTTGGCTCTTTGAGCAAGCTTTTGGAGCCTCAGCTTAATCAGATATACCTAAATTGGAAAACAACCTAGGAATGGCTAAGATGACAGAACGGAGGAGGACTGAATATGATGACATAGTTTTAAATTGTTATTGTTCAGTGGTTTGATGTTTTTAGATATAGTGTAATGTGATGTTTTATTTTTATTTTATATATGGCATTGGATTGTGCCGATTGTTTGCCGCCCTGAGTCACCTTTGGGCTGATATGGGCGGGGTAAAAATGATATAAATCAATAAATAATAAACACTGGTTCTCAAAAGTCAGCATGAGAATTTAGTTGGTGGGTGGCTCTAGCTGAGTACCCCTCAGTCTGGATTCCACCCTCTTTTGTCACAAGAAGAAAGCACAGCTCTTCTCTGAATGTTGGCATGTCGTCAAAACATTGCCATGGCTGCATGTTTACCCGCAGGAGCCAACGTACCAGGTAAACAGCAAGGCAAGTCCCTCTTCTCCAGATCAATCCCTGTGAGGGCTGTGCTTTGGGAGGAGGCCTCTGACTCCACCCGCCTTCCGCTGCTCTTTCAGGAAGGTTCTGAACAAGCTGAACTTCTCTGTCCCGGAAGACGTGGTGCGGAAGGTGGCCCAGTGCACTCCGGGGGTGGTGGAGCTGGTCCTGATCCCGCTGAGGCAGAAGATTGAGGAGAAGCAACGGCAGATGAAGATGTCCTCAAACTCCTACCAGGTCAGTAGGCATTGGCAGCAGAGCCATTCCCTCACCCAGGCCCCACTTGATAGAATGTTCTGGGTTCAGTATTAACATCCTGGGGGTTTTGCCCACCCCAGGCAACAGTTGTCTCGAGCAGAATCCTATTCTGAACATCAAAACCCCATTGTGTTAAGGCAGTGTTTCTCAACCTGGGGGTCGGGACCCCTGGAGGGGTCGCGAGGGGGTGTCAGAGGGGTCACCAAAGACCATAAGAAAACACAGTATTTACTGTTAGTCAGAGAGCTCTGGGTAGGAAGTTTGGCCCAATTCAATCGTTGGCAGGGTTCAGAATGCTCTTTGATTGTCGGTGAACAATAAATCCCAGCAACTACAATTCCCAAATGTCAAGGTCTATTTTCCCCAAACCCCACTAGTGTTTACATAGTGGCATACTGAGAATTCGTGCCAAGTTTGGTCCAGATCCATCATTGTTTGAGTCCACAGTGCTCTCTGGATGTAGGTGAACTACAACTCCCAAAACTCAAGGTCAATGCCCACCAAACCCTTCCAGTATTTTCTCTTGGTCATGGGAGTTCTGTGTGCCAAGTTTGATTTAATTCCATTGTTGGTGGAGTTCAGAATGCTCTTTGATTGTAGGTGAACTATAAATCCCAGCAACTACAACTCCCACAGGACAAAATACCCTCCCCCAATCCCACCAGTATTTAAATTTGGGTGCATTGGGTCTTTGTGCCAAATTTGGTCCAGTGTATGAAAATACATCCTGCATATCAGATATTTACATTACTATTAATAACAGCAGCAAAATGACAGTAATGAAGTAGCAATGAGACTAATTATGTGTTTGGGGGTCACCATAACATGAGGAAGCATATTAAGGGGTCGTGGCATTAGGAAGGTTGAGAAGCACTGTGTTAAGGGACGTGCCTTTCTGGCCACTCTCCTTGCTGTCTTTCTGGAAGGCAGCAGAGGGCAGAAGCGTCCACTTCCTGAATTGCTGTTTCAAACCAAGGAAAAGGAGAAGGAAAGTTATGGCTGCAGCCTTAAGGACAGACACTCCTGTCCAGGGATTTCCCCCATTAAAACAAATGGCAGATTGCTCTATTAAAATTTTAGAAAAGTTAGATACACCTGAAAAGCTAACAAATGTCCATTTGGACTGTTAAATGTGTTGTCGAAGTCTTTCATGGCCTGTCTGTTTGATACTGACACGATAAATAAAAATATTTATTTATTTATGTATTTACTTTGCTTCTATACCGCTGTATCTCAAGCCCGAAGGCGACTCACGGCGGTTCACAAACAGTAAAAACAGTAGAAACAGCAGTGGTTCCATACAACATACAAATAAATGGCCTGAGACACCCACTGAGCATCTCAGACACCCACCAATGGTCTTTGCACCATGCAGTTTCCCAGACACGTTATGGAACGTCATCACAGCATGGGGCTTCCGGTGGCAGCTTCACAGGCAGCACCTTTAAGGCTTAACTCACTGGTTTTAGCATGAGTTTTTAGGGAGTTCAATCAACTAGTTCTGGAAGTAGGATTCTAGAGTATTAGGGTATGCAAACCCTACTCTGGGTGCCGTAACAATAATAATAATAATAACAATAACACTTTATTTGTACCTCGCTACCACCATCTCCCCAAGGGACTTGGTGCGGCTTACATGAGGCCGAGCCCAAACACAACAATACAAGCAATAATCACAACAATACAAGCAATTAAAATAAAACATAAACATATAACATACAATTAAAACTGTGGGAAGGCCAAATGTAAAATTAAAATTGGAAATAATGCTGGAACATGGACAAAAAGATGATAGTGGCGTTTATGGAAGGACATACGAGCAGACCTAAAAGTGTAAAGTGCTTTGGAGGACAAAGTGCTATGGGATCATTATTCTGGGAAGGCACACTGGAACAACCACGTCTTCAAGCTCCTCCTGAAGACTGCCAGGGTTGGGGCCTGCCTGATGTCCTTAGGGAGTGAGTTCCAGAGTCGAGGGGCCACCACCGAAAAGGCCCTCTCTCTCGTCCCCACCAACCGCGCCTGTGATGCTGGTGGGATCGAGAGCAGGGCCTCTCCAGATGAACGAAGAGATCGTGTGGGTTCGTATACAGAGATGCGGTCATGCAGGTAGGCGGGTCCCAAACCATTCAGGGATTTGAAGGTAAGAACCTGCCCCTTGAATTGGGTGATGCTCTTTTCCAATCCCTATGACTGCATAATAATAATAATAATAATAATACCAACAACAACAGCTTTATTTATATACTGCTCTATCTCCCCGAGGGGGACTCAGAGCACTTTCCAAGCAACATCACCAAAACATACAGAGTAAACAGCATAACATAGAATTAACAAAACAAACATAAGCATAAAATTATCACAATAACACATACATATTAAAAATAACCCTTCCTGTTCAGAGCCATTTAAAGGCTGGACTGAGGCTAGTGGAAACTCAAAATATGAGGGGACCGGGAATTAAGTACCGTGCTATAACAGGCTTCCGGATCACCGACAGAGGAAGGCCAATGTAGAGGGCGTTACAGTAGTCCAGTCTTGAGATGACCGTGGCCTGGATCACTGTAGCTAGGTACATCTGTGTATACTGCCAACAAGATGCCAGGCTATGCGTGTGCATAAATATACATTTGCACACATATTACACATTCAAAGCTCCCGTCCCCTTTCCATGCCTGCCTCCTCCTCGCTGTCTTCTTCTTCTTCCTTCTCCAGGGCCGCCCTCCCGCCGTTGAAGGCTGCTGCAGTCTTTGCTCCTTCCCGACTCCTCCTCCTCCTCCTCCGCTGCCCCAGGTCTCTGCCTCTCTGCCTTGGCTTTGCTCCTTCGCTTGTGGGAGGATCTGCCTCTTCATCCTGTCTTTTTCATACTCTATAGCAGTGTTTCTCAACCTGGGGGTCGGGACCGCTGGAGGGGTCGCAAGGGGGTGTCAGAGGGGTCGCTGAAGACCATCAGAAAATGCAGTATTCATCAGGGGGTTTCTGTGTGGGAAGTTTGGCCCAATTCTGTCGTTGGTGGGGTTCAGAATGCTCTTTGATTGTAAGTGAACTATAAATCCCAGCAACTACAACTCCCAAATGTCAAGGTTTATTTTCCCTAAACTCCACCAGTGTTCACATTTGGGCATATTGAGTATTCGTGCCAAGTTTGGTCCAGATCCATCATTGTTTGAGTCCACAGTGCTCTCTAGATGTAGGTGAACTACAACTCCAAAACTCAAGGTCAATGCCCACCAAACCCTTACAGTTTTTTCTGTTGGCCATTGAAGTTCTGAGTGCTAAGTTTGGCCCAATTCTATTGTTGGTGGAGTTCAGAATGTTCTTTGATTGTAGGTGAACTATTAATCCCAGCAATTACAACTCCCAAACGACAAAATCAACCCCCCCAACCCCACTAGTATTCAAACTCGTGTGTATTGGGTATTTGTGCCTAATTTGGTTCAGTCAGTGAAAATACACCAGATATTTGCATTACAATTCATAACAGTAGGAAAACATACAGTTATGAAGGAGCAACGAAAATAATGTTATGTTTGGGGGGTCACCACAACATAAGGAACTGTATTAAGGGGTCGTGGCATTAGGAAGGTTGAGAACCACTGCTCTATAGTCTCATGAAGCCCTGAAATCTTACTTTCTAAAGACTATGATGCCCAGCATCCCCCAGCGGCCATGCTGTCGAGGGGTTCTGGATGTATCAGTCCCAAAAGGTAACATTTCTGAAATCCGATCTGAGCCAGAACAAATTACCTGTATTCACTTGAGTCTAATGCACCATCGAATCTAATGTGCACTTAGTTTGCAAAACCCTGAAGCCAAAATAAAAGGTGGATTTGCTGCCGAATGTAATGCGCAGTGGCAAAATGCTCTCTTTGTAATTTGGCCAAAAAAGGTGTGCATTATAGTTGCTGCCTGCTTAGAATTCCTTCTTTGAAAATAAAAGTGTTAAGAGCACCAAAGTGTCCAGTGACGGAAAATAAAATGTTGGGATGCATCTATGCTAGGCATGGTGTTTTGGGCTTCAACTCCCACCATTCCTAACAGGCCCCTTCCTTTTCCCCCTCAGCCGCTTAAGCGGCTGAGGGGGAAAAGGAAAGGGCCTGTTAGGAATGGTGGGAGTTGAAGCCCAAAACACCTGGAGGGGCCAAGTTTCCCCATGCCTGTTATAGCCAATGAATTCCTGTCTGACAATGCATTATCTATCTAACAAACAGGTCACAGAGTTATTATTCCAGGTGAAGTCCGACCAAAGTAGAAGAGATGTATCCGTTGGGACTCAGCCTGTGCTTGAACCTGTGAATATGTTTCAGTCTCCTGATGTTTCTGTGTCTGATGTGGGTAATGAGGAAGGAAATCAGTCCCCTCTTAGTTCTAATGTTGGGGATGCTGGGCCTGACTCTGAGGTGCAAGATGGAGACACTTTGGTCAATGAGTTTCATGCAGACACTGACAGAGAGACTTCAGTGCAAAGGGCAGATTCTCATGAGAATGTTTCTGTCAGGCCTTGGGAGAAAGGTTTACTCTCTCCGCCTGTGAGCCCTTTAGATTCTAGTTTGGGAAACAGTCTGACACCTGGAAAAGTTAATGAGGAGTCAGATAAGCAGAGTCGGCGGCTGGAAATTAGCCAGAATCAACAAGAGGCCCAATGTTTATGTAGATCCGAAAGAATTAGTCAATTAAAGTCAAAGACTGGGGTTAAACGAAACCAGTTTTTGGGATTTAAGGTTTGCCTGTAGAAAATCTTGTCAGATGAGGCATCGTTTGGAAACCTAGCACAAGCCTCATGGAATTCCTGTTCAAGTGGTCTCGTCGTCATGGTTTTTTCTAGCCTTTCAACTTGACTAGCAGTGTCTGGTCTGTTCTTGCTTCTTGGTTGATTCCTGTCTGGATTATCAGTGCCTTAGAATATTATTTTATGCTTTTTTAACATTGCTTTTGAATGCTAGGTTTGGACGCTGTGTCTTCTTGCTGCCTTTAAATGCCTTATTGCTTTTTGGAATCTTAATATTTTTACAAGCATTTATTTCTACTGTCTTTTTTGTTAAGTTTTAATAAAAAGGATTGTTCCTTCACTCAACGTGTGGGGTATTTATAGTCAGAGGGGCAATTTCCTGTTCTGGAGTGCAACAGTATCAGAAGCAACAGTACATGCAGTTTTTCTTTTACTAATCTAACCCAGAAGGGCCAGTTGCCTTTTGGCTTCTCTCCACTAAGTATCTAAAAATATTGGGCAGAAACAAAGCAGTAGAAGGCTGAACGTTGCACGTGATGCTGACAAGCAAAGAGAATGATGTGCAGGAATATCCTCTGGAGACAGAAGAAAAAGAAGCAATGGTGTGGCTTGTTGTATGTTGCACTCCAGAGCAGGATTCCCTCTGACTTTAAACACCACGCAGTTGAGTTAAAATAGCAAGCAGTTTATTGAAGGTAATAAAAGCCAAAGCAATAAAAAGTAATCCACAGTAAAAGGTAAACCCACTTGATTAGGAAATAAAAAGAGAAATTAATCCAAAGAGAAAGAGTCCAAAGATGTCCATGAAACTAGAGGCTTGATTTCAAAGGCAAAATAACAACAAAGGCACTTAAAACAGGAATCCAACAAAGACAAAGGTCCAGGAACTTGGCATGAAGAACTTACCATGAATCCAACATTGCTTCATCTGAAGCTAGACTCAGTACTTGGCACTTATATCTCTACTTTGTTCCCCAAACAGCTAAGAACAGATTTTTCCTTAACTTTGGTTTCATTTCTAGCTTCTGCTCTAATCTGGTTGAGCGCCTTAATTTCTGATTTGTTTGTCTTTGCTGGCTAAAAGCACTTCTTCTGTCCAAGGCTTTATTAAAGTCTGCACCTGGAGATAACTGACCAGGGGACTGCGGTGCAGAGCCTTTCCCAGGCTCAAGACCTTGAGAATCCCTTTGCAGCAATACAGGTCCCTCTAAGCCATCAACCGAACTGCACTCAGGCCCCACATCTCTAAAACCAGACCCAGGAAACAGACCGTGTTGACTCTAAGCTGGAATGTGTCCAGAGGAAGAGGGTGACTCAAATGATCAAGGGTCTGGAGAACAAGCCCTATGAGGAGTGGCTTAAAGAGCTGGGCATGTTTAGCCTGAAGAAGAGAAGGCTGAGAGGAGACATAGAATCATAGAATCAAATAGAATCATAGAATCAAGAGTTGGAAGAGACCTCCTGGGCCATCCAGTCCAACCCCCTGCCAAGAAGCAGGAATATTGCATTCAAATCACCCCTGACAGATGGCCATCCAGCCTCTGTTTAAAAGCTTCCAAAGAAGGAGCCTCCACCACACTCTGTGGCAGAGAGTTCCACTGCTGAACGGCTCTCACAGTCAGGAAGTTCTTCCTCATGTTCAGATGGAATCTCCTCTCTTGTAGTTTGAAGCCATTGTTCCTTGCGTCCTAGTCTCCAGGGAAGCAGAAAACAAGCTTGCTCCCTCCTCCCTGTGGCTTCCTCTCACATATTTATACATGGCCCTCATCATATCTCCTCTCAGCCTTCTCTTCTTCAGGCTAAACATGCCCAGCTCCTTAAGCCGCTCCTCATAGGGCTTGTTCTCCAGACCCTTGATCATTTTAGTCACCCTCTTCCTCTGGACACATTCCAGCTTAGAGTCAAAATGATAGCCATGTATAAATATGTGAGAGGAAGCCACAGGGAGGAGGGAGCAAGCTTGTTTTCTGCTTCCATGGAGACTAGGACGTGGAACAATGGCTTCAAACTACAAGAAAGGAGATTCCATCTGAACATGAGGAAGAACTTCCTGACTGTGAGAGCTGTTCAGCAGTGGAACTCTCTGCCCCGGAGTGTGGTGGAGGCTCCTTCTTTGGAGGCTTTTAAACAGAGGCTGGATGGCCATCTGTCAGGGGTGCTTTGAATGCAATATTTCTACTTTTTGGTAGAATGGGGTTGGACTGGATGGCCCAGGAGGTCTCTTCCAACTCTTTGATTCCAGGATTCTATGAAGGTGATTCCCCGTAAGATTTCGTGCCTTCTCCTGATGCTGGAGAACAAAATGATGGAGGTGTTCATGGTTGCTTGGCAGTGATGTTCCCCAAATTATGGAGGAAACCAGCCACAAGGAGGGAGGAACTCTGACTCAGTTCTTAATGAAAGATAACGCACCAGGAGGCGGATTGACATCTGCCGTCACCGAGCAGATGTGCCGAGCCTGGGAATAAGTCATCCGCGGAATTGGCTGCTGCAGAATCTCATTCCTTGGACACGGCTCAGAAGAGAGCCAAGCAGGGCTGAGTCATGCTGGCAGCACAACATGAACTCCTTCCGATGAACTTCCTCCAGAGCATGGGTCAGAAAGCCTCGAGCCTGGGGAGCAGGGCAAGGCCAAGCATGGTCCAGGGGTTGCCAGGAGGGCCAGAAAAAAAGACAACAGAAATGGGGTTCAGGTCATTAGAAACACCTGGGGAAAATCTGGCAGACCAGTATGGATCTGTGGGAAAGTCCTTCACTTTCCAGAGGAAGGAGGCAGAAGAGGGAGGCATGGGGAAACTCCGGTCCTCCCTCCATCCAGGTGTTTGACTCCAACTCCCACCATTCCTAACAGCCTCAGGCCCCTTCCTTAGTGGAGTCTCAATGTTGGGCATCTAAACATGTTTGTCTTCTCTCTGACTCTCAATGCAGGAGCCGGGGATGCACTCGACCCTGGAAGACAGCAACTACCTGGATACAGGTGAGGTCAGTTGGAGGAATATCTGAACTCATGAGATTGGCATGCAAAAGCATTGGGAGAGGGGTTTTGGGGATCTTGCCACAAGAGGCCGTGGAAGTTCTTGCCTGAGCCGCCTGGGAAGGCAAACTTCTTCTTCCCCATTCTAGTGTGTATAGCAAGGGTCCGAGGAGAAGCAGTTCCCTTTGCAGGCCTTCCTTGAAAGTCCAATAATAAGTGGTTTTGAAAATTAGTGAGACATTCTGTGAGCAACAAGGGCAGGGGAGCGGCCCCATGACATACTTGTTGGGCAAGTGGGCATATTAACAAAAGACCCTCTTCATAAATATACAGCAGAATAAATTGTCAGCAGCAGCGTGACCCACCACCAGTGATAAAAAGAACAAAAACACACAGAGCAATGTGATCTCTTCCTTAGGAGGCTTTTCTTTATAGCAGAATAATATGGCTGCACTATTTACAAGAACAAAGTTTCCATAACATGAACAAAGTCCTTTATACTTCCTTCTTTGCTTCCACGCTGGGCTTCTTTCTCATGCAGATGAACAGCTTCACTCTCACTGAGCCTCCCCTCACACAGGAGCTCTACACAGTAGCTTTACACACAGCAGACTTTACCCTGGTGCTTCACACACAATAGCCTTCAACCTGGGGCTTTCCTTGCCGTAGCTTCTCACACCAGGCCTACTCACACTTAGGCCTACTTCACATTGAGGCCTTTCTCCCACTGAGACCTTCTCACAGACTAAGGGCTCTCTCAGACTGATGCCTCTCTCAAAGACTGAGGCGAACTAACACTGAGGCCTACTAACACACTGAGGCCCTTCTCCCACGAAGACCTCTCACAGACTGAAGCGAACTAACACTGAGGCCTTCTCATACTGAGGCCTACTAACACACTGATGCCCTTCTCCCACGAAGACCTCTCACAGACTAAGGGCTACCTCAGACTGAGAGCTCCTAAGCTACAGGCTCACCTGCTTATATAGAACTGCAGCTTTTGATGAGTCATTGCATCCATTTCACCCTTTCAGTGCTTGACTTACTAGTTAATTTTTAATATTTCTGACAATACGGATTCTTTAAAATGCTCTGGCTGTGATGTGGGTTGCAGGATCATGAGGCCTTTTGAGAGACTTTGCGTAACATGCTCTCTGTCCTGGCTCTTTCAGGGTACTCTTCCAAGACCAAGACTAAGCCCAACAGCACCGGGATCTACATCCAGGACTCACCTGGGTCAGACAGGTAAGCATTTCACCTTTTGAGCAAGTGCTGAATCCTGAGGCTGGGGTCAAGAGACCTGTGGACAGCTCCCAGGGATCTTTGTGTACACCTTCAAGCCAGCCATAAACTTATGGGAAAGAGGCTTTGGCTTTGAAGGGATGTCTATTCAAAGGAATTGAAACTCTTGTTTCCGGACCATAAAGCTTAATTGGCTGGGGGGGGGGGGGGGGGAAAGGGCCTGAGGCTGTTTGGAATGGTGGGAGTTGGAGTCCAAAACACCTGGAGGGAAGGCCCAGGTTGGCCCAAGCCTATTTAAAAGCTTACTTTATATGAAGTCAATCACTTAAATTTTGTGCTGATTTATGCCAGATACAGATTAAAAGCCATCTTGGTCAAATGTCCAGAGACTTTTGTCCTAGGCGTAAATTAATTCCATGTTGGGACTCAGCCTGTGATTGAACCTGACCCTGTGCTTGAACCTGTGGATGTGTTTCAGTCTCCTGATGTTTCTGTGTCTGATGTGGGTAATGAGGAGGGAAATCTGTTCCCTGTTGCTTCTGATGTGGGGGATGCTGGGGCTGGCTGCAAGATGGAGACACTTTGGTCAATGAGTTTCATGCAGACACTGACAGAGAGGCTTCAGTGCAAAGGGCAGATTCTCATGAGAATGTTTCTGTCAGGTCTTGGGAGAAAGGTTTACTCCCTCCACCTATAAGCGCTCCAGATTCTAGTTTGGAAAACAGTCTGACACCTGGTAAAGTTAATGAGGAGTCAGATAAGCAGAGTCGGCGGCTGGAGATTAGCCAGAATCGACAAAAGGCCCAATGTTTACCTTGATCTGAAATAATTTGTTAGTTAAGGTCAAAGACTGGAGGAAAACGAAACCAATTTTTGGGATTTAAGGTTTGCCTTTAGAGAATCTTGTCTGATCAGGCATCGTTTGGAAACCAAGTGCAAACCTCATGGAATTCCTGTTCAAGTGGTCTCATCTTCATGGATTTTTCTAGCCTTTCAAGGTGACTAGCAGCGTCTGGTCTGTTCTTGCTTCTTGTTTGATTCCTGTCTGGATAATCATTGCCTTGGATGATATTTTCATGCTTTTTGGACATTGCTTTTGATTGCTACCTTTTGGACACTGTTTTATCTGGCTGCCTTTGAATGCCTTATTGCTTTTTGGAATCTTGTCTATCTTTACAAGCATTTATTTCTACTGGCTTTTTGCTAAGCTTTAATAAAAAGGATTGCTCCTTCACTCAATGTGTGGTGTGTTTATAGTCAGAGGGGCTATTTCCTGTTCTGGAGTGCAACACTCGATTAACCCCAACCCAAATTTACCACCTCCTGCCTCTGTTTTCTTCCCATTTCCAGAGGGACCAAAGGAGCGCCGTTGCAGAACGAGGCCCTGCTGCGCCTGCAGTTGGCCGAGCGGGACCAGGCCCTGCTGGCCTTGCAGGAGACCGTTCAGGTGAGGGAATCGAATAGAATACTGGAAATGCCATAACCTATTGGAAATAAGTGTACCATCACCTTATTGAAAAGGTTAAAATGATGTCACTGTTGTGGCTCACTTTGAGCCTGAGCTTTCTGAGCCTGAGTTTCCTCAGGACGAGGAGGATGATGGGTTACAGATTTCTGAACCTGTTCCTGTTATTGAGGCAGACAGTGTTGATTCTGAAGAAGAGACGGCATTTCTGTTCCCCAGGGAAAGGAATGTTGTTTTAGATAAAGATAGTGAAACTTCACAGCTGCAAGTGGACGAGTTCAGGGCCTCTCAGTTCCCAGGGTGATCAGTCTCAGGATAACGAGGGGTCCAGCCTTGAAGATGGAGATTTGATTAAGGGTTTGCCGAAGTGTGCGCCTTGCCAACAAACGTGAAATTTGAGGTCAACGTAATGCTTTCATGTTGGGGAAACATATTTAATGATTTGATTGAAGTCTGCCCATTGTCAGTGCAATGTTGCTTATACCCTGTTAACTTCTCTGAAATTACCTTGGCTTTTGGGGAAAGCTTCTAGCTCTTTGGGACTTTGGTTTTGCCCTTGATTTTTTGGGGACTTTGTCATGCTGCCATGGATTATTGTTTAACCAATGCTAAAGGAATATACTTCATATTATTTGTCTCTGGATCTTGGGAACCTTGCATTTGCTTTTAAGACTCTGTTTTGGCTATTGAACTTTTGCAACTTTACTTCTATGTTTTTTGATTTTGCTTTTTCTTCAATAAACTACAAAACCTACAGCCTTGGTGTGTGGTGGTGTCTTGAGCAAGGTGAATCTGTCCTGAGTTGTGACAGTCACATCTGTTTGGCAAATGCGAATCTCCATGAACATGTGGAGACCACCTTTTGAAAACCCATAGTCAAAAAAAGCATGGGCTTGTTAGAAGGGGAAGATGCGGTCTCGAAGATAGGTAGGTCCTGAACCGTTTAGGGCTTTGTAGGGGATCACTTGCACTGTTGCAACCCAGAGCAGGAAACGAGACCATAAGATAACAATCCTCCACACTTGACTGTGGGAAAAAACAATCCCTTTTTATTGATGAAAAATGGTTACAAAATAAAAGAAAATGCAAAGTCAAAAAGCCACAGTAAAATTCAGCAGTCAAGAATATCCAGGAACTAGATCAAAATTCCAAAAGCAACACTGTAAAAACCTGGAACCTGTTAGCAATCCACTAACTGTACTTGGAGTACTAGAAGCCTCTTGGGATGTAGGCCACGGGAAACGGGAAATCTGCCAAGGTAATGCCTCAGTCTAAACGATGCCTGATCTAACAAGACAACCCAGCGAGAGGCACTTAAAACTGAAGAAACTGTTTCGGGACACGCCTCCAGGCTTTGAAGCCTGAGCTTCCTTTTCCCTTAATCTGCTTGACCTTCGCAGACTCTGCGATTCACTCCTGTTTTTTCCAAATCTGTCCTTTTCTATCCTCATTAAGGAACCCAGGTGTTAACTCCTCTGAAGAGCTATCACTGCTTGGCTCTGCAACATTCTCATCAGAATGTGTAGTTTCACTTTCCAAGCCACTGACCTCAGAATCAACATTTTCATTACCATCAGGGAAAAATACATTTTCAGTAGCATCAGGAAATACAATCAGAGAATCAGGTTCAGGTTCAGCAATCAGAGAATCAGGTTCAGGTTCATACGCAGGCTGAACCCCATCATGCACCTTGAATTGGGACTGGAAACTAATTGGGAGCCAGTGACGCTGTTTAAATGGGGGGGGGGGGTTGACCTCTCCCTGTAGCATCTCCCTGGGAGGTGACCCTTGACGTTGTCCTGCCTCCCCGCAGATCCTGCAGATGAAGGTCCGCCGCCTGGAGCACCTCCTGCAACTGAAGAACGTCCGGATCGACGACCTGACGCGCCGCGTGCAGCAGCAGCAGCAGCCGAAGCGCAAGTGAAGGGCTCCGGTGGCTCCCCCTCCAGCCCTGCAGAAGGATGGATGGATGGACACTTCCTTCTAAAGAGGGCCAGAAGGCTCCCTGGGTGGGGTGGGGTGGGCTGGACCCTTGCTTTGCACGCTCCTGGAAGCACAAGGCGGCCAAACAGAAACTGGCAGGCAAGGAGAAGAGGAACAAGCTGGTTCAGGGAACTGGCTTAGCTCCTTGCCCAAGGCCTCCAGCGAAGAGGGTGAAAGCAGACGGGATGCCCAAGCCTGCCTGCCTTCAAGGGGGTCTCCCTGGTCAGGAGGGGGCTTCCACTCCAGGATGGAAGGCTGGCAAAGGGCTCCAGGGTCCCAGTGGCACCCCTTTGGCCCCTCTTTCCCAAGGAGAGGCTCGTTCCTTCTCAGCACCAGCACAAAGGCATCCTCTTGCCCAGGGGAGAAGGCTATAGATCAGGCATGGGCCAACTTGGGCCCTCCCTCCAGGTGTTTTGGACTCCAACTCACACAATTCCTAACAGCCTACTGGCTGTTAGGAATTGTGGGAGATGCAGTCCAAAACACCTGGAGGGAGGGCCCAAGTTGGCCCATGCCTGCTATAGATGGAGCTCCGAGGCAATATGAGACCTTTTGCAGAATTTTAGTCTGGGACGAAAGTATTTTGGACCCCTAGAAGCTCCAGGAAGCCACAAAACGAGCCCCATCTGGCCATAAGGAAGAATCATACCTTGCCTTCTCTACTGCATCTCCTCCTCCTCCAACACACATGGCTGGCTAGGACAACACGGCCAGCGAAATGCATGTGTCGCCCTTGTGCAGTTGTTGCCTCCCTGCACACAACCCCAAACCTCCCCTCCAAACTGCATGCCTTAACCAGGGTTGCAACTGGATTTGGGGGGAGCCCAGCAAACCCTTGCTTGTATAGTAAGCTCTGTTGTAGCAAACGGTGCTTTGGTTTGAACGCAAGGTTGCATCCCCTTAATAAAAAGGGAAATCCCAATATGTTAAGAAGAAGCCTTTGCAGGTTGTCCCTCTTTGGAAGGAGCATCGCAAGCGGTTCTGGGAACGTCCCGGTCCCACTTCCCATCTCCAAACTCTCATTGGCATGCGCTGCATCCCTTCTGCTGAGCATCTCTGCATGTTTGCACAAAGCAGCAAGAAGCGGGATTGAAAATCCCAGAGAATGACTTATGTTAAGAAGAAGCCTTTGCAGGTTGTTCTTCTTAGGAAGGAGCATTGCAAGTGGTTCTGGGAACGTCCTGGTCCCACTTCCCATATCCAAAATCTCATTGGCATGCACTGCATCCCTTCTGCTGAACATCTCTGCAAGTCTGTTCAAAGCAGCATGGAGCAGGATTTAAAATCTCAAAGAATGAGTTTTGTTAAGAAGAAGCCTTTGCAAGTTGTCCCTCTTAGGAAGGAGCATTGCAAGTGGTTCTGGGAACATCCCAGTCCCACTTCCCACCCCCAGACTCTCATTGGCATGCACCGCGTCCCTTCTGCTGAGCATCTCTGCATGTTTGCTCAAAGCAGCATGGAGCAGGATTTAAAATCCCAAAGAATTACATATGTTAAGAAGAAGCCTTTGCAGATCGTCCCTCTTTGGAAGGAGCATCGCAAGCGGTTCTGGGAATGTCCCGGTCCCACTTCCCATCTCCAGACTCTCATTGGCATGCACCACATCCCTTCTGCTGAGCATCTCTGCATGTTTGCTCAAAGCAGCATGGAGCAGGATTTAAAATCCCAAAGAATTACATATGTTAAGAAGAAGCCTTTGCAGATCGTCCCTCTTTGGAAGGAGCATCGCAAGCGGTTCTGGGAATGTCCCGGTCCCACTTCCCATCTCCAGACTCTCATTGGCATGCACCACATCCCTTCTGCTGAGCATCTTTGCATTTTTGCTCAAAGCAGTATGACACTGGATTGAAAATCCCAAAGACTTATGTTACGAAGAAGCCTTTGCAGGTCGTCCCTCTTTGGAAGGAGCATAGCAAGTGATTCTGGGAACATCCCAGTCCCACTTCTCATCTCCAGACTCTCATTGGCATGCGCCATGCCCCTTCTGCCGAGCATCTCTGCATTTTTGCTCAAAGCAGCATGACACAGGATTGAAAATCCCAAAGAAGAAGCCTTTGCAGGTCATCCCTCTTTGGAAGGAGTATTGCTAGCTTTTCCGTGAATGCCCTGGTCCCACTTCCCATCTCCAGATTCTCATTGGCATGCGCAGCATCCCCTCTGCTGAGCATTTCTGCATGTTTGCTCAAAGCAGCATGACACAGATTGAAAATCCCAAAGAAGAAGCCTTTGCAGGTTGTCCTTCTTAGGAAGGAGCATCACAAGTGGTTCTGGGAACGTCCTGGTCCCACTTCCCATCTCCAAACTTTCATTGGTATGCGCCGCGTCTCTTTTGCTGACATCTCTGCATGTTTGCACAAAGCTGGGTGACACAGGATTGAAAATCCCAAAGAATTACATATGTTAAGAAGAAGCCTTTGCAGGTTGTCTCTGTTAGGAAAGAGCATTGCAAGCGGTTCTGGGAATGTCCTGGTCCCACTTCCCATCCCCAGACTCTTATTAGCATGCGCCGCGTCCCTTCTGCTGAACATCTCTGCATGTTTGCTCAAAGCAACATGAAGTTTCTTTCCACCAAGACAATCTCCCCTTTTTCTGCAAGGTGTGGACAACAGAAACCTCTTGATGTTGTCCTTTGCACCTCCATCGAACCATGGCCCCAGGATCCAACAAGGAAACCCATTGCAAGGGTTGTGAAAGTGCTTTCTCGTGGTCAGACGGGCAGGTCTGTTCCTGGGGATTAATAGCCCAATTGCCTTTTCCTCACTCTAGGCCTTTGATGGGCAACCTTTTGAGCTTGGTGTGTCAAAATTTGCCAAAAACCTGAGCATAACTTGGGTGGGGTGTCAACTTCGAGAAAAAATAAACGTAATTTTGCAATATTTATAGTTTAAATAAGAAAAATGTATATTCCATGCTGAGTTATGGAGTGAACAATGCTCAAACGTGCAGATGTTAAATTTGTAGAGCCTTTTACAATTTAAGGATGGAATTAGATTGGCTCTTATAAGGTGTACTTCTCTGTGTGCGGCCGCATGTGGCTGCGTGTGTTGCGACCCAGAGCAGGAAACTGGACCCTCAGACAACAATCCACCACACTTGACTTCAGGAAAAACCAATCCTTTTTATTGATGAAAGATGAGTACAAAATATAAGAAATATGCAAAGGTAAAAAGCCACAGGTAAAATCAGCAACAAGAAATGTCCATGAACAGGATCAAAAAACCCACAGGAAAACTGCTCAGACCCGGAACTTGTTAGCAATCCACTAACCGTACTTGGAAACACTAGAAAAACTCCTTGGAACAAAGCCACTGGAAGCAGGAGAACTGCAAGAGTCTGCACATGAATCTGAAACGATGCCTGGACTGAATGGGCATCCAGGCCAAGCGTTTTTAAAGCATAGAAATCTATTTCGTGACGTGCCTGAAGGCCGTGTTTGCATTTCTCTTAATCTAGCTGACCTCCATAAACTCTGCGCTGCTCCTCTGCTTTGCCAAATCTGCCCCTTTCTATCCTCGTTAGAGGGGCCAGGTGTCAGATCATCTGGAGAGCTAAGTCTGGGAGGAAAAGGGAGTGAAAGTTCATCATTTGGCTCTGAATCATTCTCATGGGAATTTGGACTTTCCCTTTCCAAAGCAGCAGAATTTTCACTACACAAACCGTCATTTTCTACATTGACCTCAGAATCATTGACATCTTCACTGACATCAGGAAATACAATCAGAGAGTCAGAACAGGTTCACAAACCGGCTGAACCCCAACAGCGTGTCATCAAAAATAGCCATGTGTGTCAGTGCTGATACGCATGTCATAGGTTCACCATCACGGATCTAGGCTCAGCTTGGAGGGAGGAAATAGGGCCTGAGTTTAGGAATGCTATCCTGGCTTGGCTCTTATTGTTGTGCAAGCTTTACTCCGTTTACATTTTGGCATTCGGTTTGAGCACAGAAGGGGCAGCTTCTGTGGAAAGCTAGGGAGGGTTGCTTCTTCCCCATCAAAAACCCCACATTTCCCTCCCCAAAACCCTTTTGTTTTGGTCCCAGAAGAGATCTCACAACAGGAAGGCACAAGAAGTCACCTTCTAGTCAGTTTCCCCTTTCCAAAGGAATTACTCTCTTAACGTGCCCAAGAGAGGCCTCCACACTTTTCCTCCGGAGCATTTTGGGTGCCTTGTAGGTTCCAGAAACCCGTCTTAGCAGATGCAAAGCCATAAAAGGAAACGGAGGAAAACGTGCCTTTCTTTGTCCGCAATGTTTTCCAGGGCCAACGAAGCCAAGCGTTGCTGAAAAGTTGAGTTATTCCTTCCAGCAGGATTCGCAGGCGGTTGGTTTTCCTTCTTGTTGTCCCTTGGGCATCTCTCTAGGAATCCTTTACGCTCCCCTTTCCTCGCCACAGTGCCTCACCAATAAAACTAGATAGACACCTTTCCTAGAAAGCCCCGGGAATTGTTTTTGTGGAATGTTTACATGTCTGTGTGTGCATTTGATATCTTGGTGCATGTATTGGATTTTCAATTTATTTACTGTTTTGTCGAAGGCTTTCATGGCCAGAATCACTGGGTTGTTGTAGTTTTTTTCTCGGGCTATATGGCCATGTTCTAGAGGCATTTCTCCTGACGTTTCGCCTGCATCTATGGCAAGCATCCTCAGGGGTGAGACGACCTCTGAGGATGCTTGCCATAGATGCAGGCGAAACGTCAGGAGAGAATGCCTCTAGAACATGCCATATAGCCCGAAAAAACTTACAACAACCCAATTTATTTACTTGTCCTTAATTATTATAAGTTTATATTGATGTTGTTGTATTCCTTGGATTGGATTTGGTTGGTGTGTTTTCATTACGGCATTGAATATTTGCCACTTTTTTGTTTGGAAACCGCCCTGAGTCCCTTTGGGGAGAGAGGGACCGTTATAAATAAAACCATTGCCATCTTGAAATTCATTGGCATCAAATTCATTGGTGCTTTGGGGGGGGGGGGGGGTCACATCCAAAGCACCCTGATCCTGAAATACAAATACAGGCTGAACTGCAACAGCTCCAGGGCAGACGGAAACTTTTGAACTCCCAAACGATTGAGGGAGGAAAGGAAAGGACTTGAGGCTGTTAGGAATGGTGGGAGTTGGAGTGCAAAACACCTGGAGGACCTCAGTTGGCCCAGGTCTGTTCTAAAAAATTGGGGTGGGAGCAAAGGAAAGGACTTGAGGCTGTTAGGAATGGCGGGAGTTGGGTAATGCCCTTTCCCCCCCCTCGTGTTTTTGCTGGTCGACTCTATTAAGTATCGGCTGACATTTATAACCCCAGGTGAACGAACAAAATCCTCGCGTTTCCTATGCGAAACCCTTGGCTGCTTCTTTGGCATTTTCTGGGGCATCGGGCA